CTTGGCAACTGGCTGGGGAGGGGGAAGGATGGAAAGCAATCCCCAAGGGCCCCAAGAATTGGATTTCACAGGTTGTGGGTCAATACGGGACATCAGAAACATCCACTATCCAGGAATCATAGCAGAGGGGCATTATCCAGCGAATAATTCTTGTCATGTTTGGGATGTTGACCCAGGGTTGAAGAGAGTGGCCTGACCAAATGGCAGAAGAATTGGGACAAATGTCAGAACACTTAAGTCTAAGCGTCATAACATCAGATGCAGATCATCATAGCCCGAATACAATCAAGTTCAGTGTACGTATACCTATTTACAGGAAACTGTGCACGTTGGTTTCATGGGCTGTGTACGTAAAAATGGAGAACCATGCAAGAATCAAAGCGTTTTTGGTAACTGAGGGCGCTTTCCAACAGAACACACACTGAGGGCGCTTGTTTCCCACAGCGAGCCCATGCGGGAAAACAACGGGTGAAGGTACATGCCCCCATGCTCCATTCATATACTGAGGGATCCAAAAGAGTGTTTGTGATATTGATGCAACATGATGCAACAAACAAATGATGAGACTATTAAGCATCATGAATACGTCCATCTTCCTCATCTTCTTTTGATGTCACAAGTCTCTTGAAGGCCAAAGTTCAACACTGGCCACACACACACACCCACATCGACCCCCACATCGTCCCACGGCCCAGCTCCAAAGGTGGCGTTCTTGGATCCGGTGGCCGCGCACCTGGAGACGCGCGAGTCCGGCGGCAGCTGGGCGGAGTCCTTGCGGATCGACGACAACTGCCTGGTGAACAGCATTCATCCCAGCTGGTCCTGGAACATGTTCATGGCAGGCGCGCACCCAAAAAGTAGGTGGGTGGGTAGGTGGGTGGGTGGGTGGGAGATGAGTGTGCGAACGAAGCGTTGAAAGATGTTCTGAGGAGGAGTTGGAAGGGGTGCCAGTAGTTTTGTGCGAAAGCATGCCGAAAGCTAATTCGGGGGTTCCAAAGATTATGTGACAGCCCGACAAAAGTCCGGAACACGATGTGAGTTGTTGATCGTTGTTGAAGGGTACGGCCTTGACAAATGGCAGGCAAGGTCCTGGTGGTGCAAAATCTGTGACGTCGGAGTTGGTTTCCAACCGGTGAGGCTCGGGTGAGGGGGTCCACAACATCCACTCACGGTTCAGGGGACTGAAACCACTCCGGAAGTGGTGCATTGCTAGGTTTGCCTCGCATGTAGATCAATCAAAAGGGCAGTAAAGCCCAAGGTCGGCACAAAAAGGGTTGGAATTTGATATGTTTTATGTTCAAAACTGGTTTCTTCTCCAGTCCCCAAACCCCCAAGAACCTCTAAAAGCATCCGCAACCTCGATTTGGAGTCGGCTTTGGTGTGAAAAACCAACGCTCCGGGCGGGCCTGACCCGCTGCACTCTCGCTCCAGCCGGCCCCCGAAGCTCCGCCCGTCTGCAGGGCCCACCTTCACGTCGCTGGTGTGTCCCTCCAACTCGGTCGATGAAGTGCGGCAACAAGCGCTCATCGATGCGGCGGGCGCGCGCGTGGCCAGCAAGGCAGAGAGGGCCGGCGGGCCGCGGGACGCGGGTTTGCAGTGGAAGGCATGAATGTTCGGAGCGAGAGGTTTTCGGGTTTGTTGGGGGGGTAGAGAGATGAGCCTGGTTTTGCTTGCTTTGTGATTTTGTTGTTCCCATACTGTGGGTTTGTCTCCGCTTCTGGCGAGAAGATGCTTTGGAGTGTTTTAGATTTGCTTCGGGTTCGGAAGCAAGCAAGGCTAAGTGAAGATTTATCAGATGTACCCTGAGCTGAGATCACTCTGATTTCCACTTCTTGGCCACATAGGACGCCCCATGCCTCACTTCCACGCGGACCTACTCCGAAGGGCATCAACGACTACTACTCCGGCAGTTGGGTGGCCATCAGCACCATCACCTTGAACGGCGACCTGCGGCGCGCTGCGCAAAGGCGACCTGCGCCGGACGGAGCAGGGCGGGATTGGAGAGAACCACCTGTTTGGGAGGGGAGGTTGGAAAACCTGTTTGAAAAGGGTCATCCGAAATTGGGGCCATCCACGTATAACCATGTTTGTTTGTGTTGTGTTTTTTTTTTCCAGGGAGTGTAAAGGATGCTGGAGGACCAACCCGCAAGTCACCACCGGACAACACGGGTCTGAGTAAGGAGCGGCGATGGAGGATGATGTCCGCAGGATGTGGTCCGCAAGTAGACGGAGAACGACATGTCAAGACCGGCACGCTTCGCCAGGTCTGGGCTCGGCAGTGGTGGCACGCCGACGACGGCTGCTCCCACCACAACTTCAGCTGGTACAACTGGCTGCTGGGACTGGATAAATTCATACAAATGATGCATATAACAATTGCATATGTAACTATGATATAAATGCATGCGTGCTGTGTATTGTGTATATATATAATACACAGGAAACCAGGTATATATGCATGCCTGTGTTCTTTATGTTTGCAATTTTGCTGAGTTCACACACATCCCCACTGCGTTCCCATCCGTGTCCAGGCCCAGTCGCCACAACGACCACAACAACTCTGGAGGGTCCTGGGGGCTGTTCCTCCAGCAGCGAGGATTGCAGAGGGACCGGCTGTTGCCTGGAAACTCAGCTAGGTGACGTTAGGTGAGATCAGGACGTGAGTTGATGTGGAGAGTTTGGCAGCAAGCCGGGTTTCCAACAGAGCTATGTCCAGTTAGATTTGAGCATCCTTTATATAGGGGACGGGGATCTTCTCAAGCTGGGTGTGCGAATGTTTCAGCACTCTGAACCGTTTGTTTGCGTAGCAAGGGTGAAAACCAGCAATTTGTTGGCAATGTCAATGGGATGTATGGTTGCTCAATTTTAGTCAAACAGTTGAACACTCCAATCCTACAACCCCTTTGAAGAACTCTGACAATCCTTCAGAGATCTCTTCGCGCATCAAAAGAGACTTGTGATTGATGAGGGATTCCACAAGCACAAAAGATTGAATCGTTACCCCCGTAGCAAAGAAAAGCAGAAAAACAATGGAAAAAACACATGGTTTTTTCCTACGAAATGAACCATGTTGCTGGCCACCTCCTTGATTTCGTTGCTTTGGGTTTGAGGTTCCAAAATCAAATGTCAAGTTGGATTTAAAGTTGGGATGCCGGAGACATGAAACAGTACTGATGGTAGTGCAGTTCCGCAAGTGATCGGGTTCCACATCGGTCGACTGAACCAGGGTGGGTTCCACTTGGGTGGAACCCGGAGACCGGCATGCTGGGAAGTGGAGAACGCATGGCCTCGAGTTCGGGATCCAAGTTTCTTCAAGACCAACCAGGTGGTGCCATCCATTTCCATGACTATTCCAAGGGGTGCATTCCATTCCTCCAATCCAGGCCCTCAATCGGTTTGTTGTGACCGTGAATGTGAGAAGGATGTGTGTTGTGTGTTGGTAAGTCGAGCAGTCGTTGGCTAGCAGTAGCTTTGCAGCTTCAAATCGAACTGCAAGACGGCACGAGCCCAGTGCTCTGCTCTACTGCTTTGAATTGGATAATATTCAGCTACTTTTGGGGTTCGACAAACTGAGCAGACTTGGATTTTGGCCCATCCAAGGATGCAGGCTACACCTGTTATGAGAAGAACGAGTCACTTGGCTGAGAAACGAAAAGTTCTATTGTGCAGGTGGTGCCCACATCTATCAACCCCCCAGAGCTACACGAGCTCCACACACCTCAGACGGTCTAGAGGACCTTTTTTGAACGCCCACTATAACTACCGGGACCATCCTGTTTGGGTGTCCTGCCTGGCTGGACTACCCTACACTACTATTCAAACAGGACCGGTCCTGGTATGACGATCCCCTGTTCAGATCCTTGGACCTTGAAAGCCTCGTCTGACGGGAAAAGCTTCGTCTGGGACGCACGCAGACCGATGGCCACCAACATCGCGACTCACCTGGGTTAGGCCACTCATGTTGGGGCTGGGCCGCTGAAGCGGGCCCAGGACTGAGAGAGGAGATCGCCCCAGGCTTTTTGGTTCCGACTACTGCAGTCAGCGACGGCGTTTGGACCGAAGAACTTGTTGATTTGACTAAGGGATGCTAAGACTACAACACCTTGAAATGGTCTTCAGCGACCAGCGACCGGGTAGGATGAGGAGACGAGCGATCCGCTTTACCACGGCGTGGTTCCACCCGAAGTCTGAGTCGCTAGGTCACCCTCCGTAACTCCAAAACGAATTTCAAAGGTGATCAACCCCAAACAGAGGTCAGTAACCCGCGTCCTAACAGAGGCTTCCCAATTGGATTTGTAAGAAACCCCCCAAAGATGTTCCAAGAGAGGTGACCGAAAAAGGATCCTGTTGGGGTACCACAAGGGTCCTTCAACCTCTGTTGGTTCTCCTTATCCACAAAGGCGGCTTGCATCCCAACTCCCTGGTTCCAGCTGAAACTGACGCTCCGATGAGGTACTGGGCCTCCTGTCGGCAGAGCTGCCAACCCGGCGAAGAGAACCCCACGGATGATCCAGACGCTTTGGTGAATGGTGGTTGAAAGCTCGTTCTCGGTCGTTGGGTGAATGGTTGCCATATTTATTTGGACCATCCAATGGGTGTCCAATCAAAATCCCTAAGTACTGGAGGGTAGCACCAATGGACTACCCATTGGGTGGTCCTGGTATATAGATGTTTTAATATACCGCCTGCAGAAACCGACGACATTTAGTTAGGAAGAATGTATTGCAGTATGTTTCTTGACATCCTCTATAGTTATAGTTTCACATGAGTACGCTGTAGGCTCCTGTCAGAGGATTGAACAAAAAAACATGTTTGAAGCTGACCTAGGGCCCACTCAAGAAAACCAAAGCCACCCTAAGGGTCCAGGACCATCCGTTTCTCAGATGTCCTTTCCGTGGCCCCAATGCGACCATTCGACCTGGTTTCGTACGTACTCACCTCCGTTCGACCATCCGAAGTGCGGAGGTATACCTGGATCCTTATAAGGACTGAAGATATATATATATATATGGTCGGTGTCGCACCGCACCGATGCCGTCCGAGTCGGTGTTTTGGAACCTAGAACGGCATGATTCCGATCCTTCCCTGGTTTTGTTGGGCATGGTCCCCGCCCCGTCCGCGTTCTTTTAGTCGAATTCACTGGACCACGTTTGTTCATTTTTTGGGCATCTTTCGCATGGTCCGCGCATTCACGCCGCATGTCACCGCTCTCTTCGCGGCCGCGGAGGAGTACCGCAGCCCTTGGACCTGCGCCATCATCGGCCCCGGCGGGTCCACAACGACGTCCACGACCACGACGACGTCCACGGGGACCGTGGTGAACCCTGCTCCGGGACAGGTCTTTGTGACGGGCACCGTGGGCTCCGGCCACTAGATCGGAAAGGGGGAGGGAGGCGCGAACAGGACGAGTTGAAGAGGTGTTAAGGACCCTTCCAATCGATTTTAGGGGGGATCCTCGATTGAATTGGATTCATTGGAATGTTTTCGGATGACTCAAGCAGTTGTGCCTGTGAAACCAGTTCTCTATTTTGTGTTACTGGAAGCCAGACGTGGCAAGCCACATACACCAGAGCACCCTAAAACCTACATGCTGCAGGGAGCAGAGCCTAAGTCCTCCCAAAACATCGATGGGTTCTCAGTCCTCCTTGGCCCTGATCATCGGCTAAGTCCTTCTCTGGCTTCTCAGTCCTCCTTCGCCCTGATCAGCGCGCGCTGACTGATGCCGGCATCCGATGTCTTCTCAGCTCAGGTAAAGCTCGGCTCTTTGAGTTCATCAACGCCCTTTCCGATCAGCCCATCCCTGGCTCCGGCGCACGTGCCGTCCATTCCTCCGGGGGCGCTGCGGGCGGTGTGGTGAGTGAAAGCCAAGGTGGCCTGGCAAGAGAGGGTGGGGGGGGTTAGGACGTGTGTCATGCAGCAACCGTTGGCCACCTGACATGGCAAAACAACTGCCATAACCATGATACTAGTAGAATCTAGTAGACATTCGTCATTCTGTTAACGAACGATTCATGTGACGAAGTAATTCATGATGTGGCCCAATCAAACGCAGAAGCAAGATGCACAACAATTCAACTATACTTCATGAGTGAACAGCTCAGTGCACCAGCAAAGCTCCCAGGTATTGCATTTGCCAAGCAAGGCCTTCTCTTTTTGTCTTCGGATGTGATGTGCTGAAGGCCCAAGACCACAATAAACCAATCAGGCCGAGGTCTCCGTTGTTGTCGAATGAGACAGTCCAGTTCGGGTCGGCTGCCAAGGCTATGGTCTGCTCTTGACGGGTGCCATGTTAGCCAGCTTGGGGCCTTCCGATGCAGATCGCCCCAAGATCCTGGACTACACCTATGAGATGTTCTTGGGTTGGCGACGGATGTGCGAACGATCCAAGGAGGTGGGGACCTGTTCCGTTCCTAGAACGCCCGGTGGGACCTGTCGCGCCCAGTCGGATGGACAGGTTTGTTTAGGGATCCGGTCGTACCTTCTGACTCTCCAAACCCAGAACAGTCTCCCTGCTCACCTTCTCAGAGGGAGGCGGTGGATCCCGAAGGCGTCAGAGGTTGGTATCTTTGGAGCCTCCCTGGGTACTCAGCGCCCACCCACCCGCAAGACCGAAACGTGTTTCCCAGAGGTGCTTCGAGCCGAAGGGGAAACATGTTGGCTTTGAAATCGATTTGAATCCGCTCCAGGGGATGTTTTGTTCCTTGTGCCCTTGTGTTCAGTTTCAATGATTTCACTGATCAAGTAGGGTCACATCGTGGGGGTCAAAGCCGAGCCCGTTCAACGAGTGCCCAGCGCGCGTTTTTTTGAGCGCAAGCTCGCCTTAAACAATCAATGTCTGAGCGCTAAGCCTTGAAGATCTCAATTAGGCGCCACAGACGTTTTCACAGATGTGGCACCAATGGAATTCCAAGAGAGGGCAACCTGCAGATTCTAGTCATGCTAGAAGTATCCCCATTATTGAGGTCCAAAAAATGTTCCATTATTGTACCTGCAGGAGCACCCTGGGGTTGAGCCATTTTGAAACAACATGTCGCAGAGCGCAGGACGGAAGTTGCCAGGATGATGAAGGATTTCAATGTGGAGGAAAGCAATTTCCTTGCTTGCCTCACTGGAAGTTCGATGATGATCTGACCGGCATCATTGGCAAGGCGCGAGTGAGTGACGACTCACGGTTTGACATTGACTGGGGGTTGACAGGTGTACGTAGGCTGTTTAGCAAGACCCACTGGTTTGAACCTGTACATCTTCAGTGAAGAAGCTGCAAAATAGGTCAAAACGTTGTGCGACTTTCTATTCCGCACCTTACTTTGTGCTCTTTGATTCATGATCATGTCCATGTTCAACCCTTTATGTGGCACTGTTCAAACCGTTGGTGTAAGGAATCTTCGCACTAAAGCTCAAACAATGCAGGTAATTTTGGGATTTGGATGCTACCTTTTGGCCAGCCTAGCCGGCTTTTGTGTGCCAGGTGTGATTTTGACAGAAATCTGTACACCTGAAACCTTCAGAACAGATCCTCTTCTGTGAGATTCTTGTTTGTTGTTTCCCCTTTGGGATCATCTCAGACAGATGTTGTCGCCTGGAAGCATCCTTTCTTGACGGAAAACACTCTATAAACAGAACATGTGACCAGGGTGCAGCTCCTGATGGTGATGCCGATGCCTTGGCTGGGATGCTTTTGGCAGTGCTTTCCCTGGAGAAAGCGAGTGCACCACCCTCTTGGTTGGACGAGGCGCCAGGAGCTTTGAGGGACGCGCTGGTCTTGTAGATGGTCCTAGTGGATTCGACCTACCACATGGTCCGCGTGTGTTTTTTTTGCGAATCATGGCAACTGGTTCCCTCGGGTTCCCTGGCTGACCTGGATGCAACTTCCTCAGGGAAATTGGGTTTACGCATCTCCTAATTGCTCCCCATTGCCAGGTTGGTCAATGGGCGTATGACACCTGCAAGCAGTTCTACATGAGTTCGACCGTTTCATCATCTTCAGGCAACCACCGTATCGTGAAGCTTGGATCTTGCTGGGGTGGTTGGGGTGGCCAGGGCCAGAATCCCAGCTACCATGCACCTGGCGTTTACCGGCTTTGCCGCAACTACATGAAATCATATGATGTCAAGTACGGTGAGACAGCGCAGGAAGGAGAAAACTTCGAATCCAAATGGAACAAGTTGATTAGTACGACCTACAAGATGTTTGGTGCTACTCAGTGTGACTCTACAGGCTTGATTCCCAATTGGGCCAAGATCTACGAGGAGGGACAATCTCTTCGTGCTGAGATGGGCTTTTCTGGCAGTGGAACTCCAGGGGCAGAGTACGGATCAGAAGCCTCACGCGCCGTGTGGCGTGTGGCTTTGGACTTTCTGCTCTTCCCTAACGAGGCGGGCGAAGCAGTGGCTTGGCAACTGGCTGGGGAGGG